GGGGGGTTGGCCACAACCCACCACTCATAAAATGTTCCTGAAGATCTCTCTCTCTCTCTCTCATAGCCTTTACATCATCTTTCACCCATCCACACCTAATTTTTCTTGGGGTAAACCATGACAAAGTGGGTTTTCATATGCGAGTTATGGTGGTGGTTAGTAGCACGAGAATAGAGTCAAACAGATGGCAATGGTGGTCATGATTGCTTCTAAGTGATGAAAAGGGGGGGAAGGAAAAGGGTTGTGGCTGGAGCAGTGAGTTGGAAGGACGATTGAGAGATGTGGAGTGCAGATGAAAGAGGACGAGGGGAAAGAAGGGTCTCTGGTGATAGTTTGAGGACGTCCCCAACTAGAGCCCGATCATTTACGGGCTTGGGCCGGATGTGGACCGGGCTTAACTTATTTTTTATCCAACAGACCTAATATGGTAAAATCAATCCCTGTTTTACGGGCTTGAAAACTTACTCATACTTGCCTATAAACGGTCTGGGCTTGCCCAGGGGCTTACGAAATTTTGTTATATTTTTATGAAAACAAAACTTATATAAAATCACAAAGTTATGTAAATAATTCAAAGTACATAACAGTTTTTCCAACTTAACATTTGACGTAAATACATAACAATATACATACTTCAGAAAGAAATTGTTTCGCTAAATATGAATTATCGATAAAGAAAATGACTAAATAAGATAACAAAGAATTGATCAATTGAGGTAATTATATTTTCAAATTTAAGATTTTTAAAGAATGTTATTATTATGAGTCATAATTAAGTAGGAATTGATAAATATCAAGAATTTTTAATTTTATTTGTAAATTTTAATTATAAAAGTCAATTATTATAAAAATATTAATGGGTCTGACAAACCTACCCAAATATTTTTTTTCATTGTTCATGTCCGTCCATTAATTTTAACAAGTCAGTCCAAACCCGCTTATTTCTTCAAGAATAGTAATCCAAGCCCCTTTTTTTAACGCAACAGACAAGACGAGTCTAACAAGTCATCCCGCTCATAAACAGCTCTATCGTGGACGATGTTGAAAGCAATGGGAGAAGAAGAAAGCATGGTGATGGAAGTGGGATCATGGTGTGTGTATGTATTTATATAACATAATATAATTATTAAAAAAACTTATTCAAATAATAAAAGATAATGATAAATTGACCAAAATACCCTTCATTTACTGGATTTAACAAAAAAGATACAACAGTCATAAGTGGGACGAACGAAATCTTCGCAAACTTCAAGGAGTAATTGTAAAACATTCAAATTTTTAAGTTTTGAATCTATTTGATAGGTAACTGATAGATTTTATAACTATTGATGAAATGTCAAATTATCAAATTATAATGTAATTTTTCGCTACATGAAAAATTGTCACATTAAAATCAACATAGGCCACACAAGTTAAATAAATACTTGTTTATTAAGTAAAACAAATATAAAATAGGAAAGAATTAAACATTTGTTACATAAACCAAAAAAAATCGTTACACTGAGTATCAATTATGGTTGCTTGATTAGGTTCTTCAAAAGCGACTTAAGTGCCGTTTACCATACTCGAGTAAGCGCTTACCAAATCACTTTACTTTATCGGATGAATATGACAAGAATTAAAAATCTTACCCGGTAAGAACGAAGACGAGAATCGAGAATATTAACCGGTAAATGAGGACGAGAACTCTTACCATAGTTAGCGCTTATCGCAATAAATTCTTCAAAAATATTCCATCAAACCAAACATATCTAAGAATATTCACCCTACAAGAATATCACTTCCTAAATTTCTCCTAAGAGTATCAGGCATCAGCAGCACCTGAATTAAATAAAAACCTTAATAAAATTCTATGATGAAAATAGGTTATTATATAAACCTAACTTTCCATCGTTTATTATAAAACTAACTTGATTATAATTATATATATATATAGAGAGAGAGAGAGAGAGATGTACTACAAGATTATAAAATGAAACTCCAAATATATTTATTAACTTTAATTTGTTAATATAGACTTGGGATCACGTGAGACCAGCTTTTTACACTTGAAACTTTACAACAAAATGCTGTGAATGTAACCTTCTCAGTGTTTTTGCTGTGAAGGTTCGACTTTTTTAAACATTCACAATGTTTTTGCTGTGAAGTTTCAAGTGTAAAAATGTGGTCTCACGGGTCTCACGAAAACAGTCTGGTCTCACGTGAACCCAACCCTGTTAATATATATATATATATATATATATATATATATATATATATGTGGAGGTTCAAACGAGAACCCCTGTGATTTACGAGAATGCGAGAACAATCTAATAACCTCAAACTTTTTTAATTAATAAATTAACTTATATTAAATATAAATAAATTAATAAGGRMAGTAATGTAATTAATTAATTTTATAAWTTTTATTTTATTTTAATTAGTCATAATTATCCCTTTTTTCCTGCACGTTCTTTTCYACTCTCTCCTCTCCCCTTGTGATAATTGTGTGATTGTATAACCATAACCTATCGAAATTATAATCAATGAAGTGTAACCATAACCTATCGAAAACCATGAGTAATCGTTGTGATAAATATGTAATTGTCTAACCCTAACCGATCGAAACTATGATCAAATTTAGTGCGCAAGTGATGTTATAATAGTGATATCACATGATTATCACACTCATATCACACCAAATCGTTTAATAGATTTCGCCCGTAATCGTTGTGATAAATGTGTGATCGTCTAATCCTAACCGATCGAAACCATGATCAAATCGAGTGCGCTGTTATGATAGTGATATCACATGATTATCACACCCATATCACACCAAATCGTGTTGATATAAGCGATAATTGTGTGATAATCACATGATTATCACACCCATATCACATGATTAACCGTTTATTAGATAATGATAATCATGATCGTGTAATCGTATTAAAAGATTTTATGATATCATTTCCATTATTACCCTTTTAATTTTAATATTTTCTGAATCTTTTTAAATTTCAATTTTAGTTTTAAAAATCTTTTAATTTTACTTTTTATCACAATATGTGGTTATTCGGTTGTTCTCGTATTCTCGTAAATCACAGGGGTTCTCGTTTGAAC